TTGTTGTTTCTTTACTGTTATGATTCTCTTTGGCTTGTACTCCCTCAGCATGTTTCCCCTCCTATTATTACCTGTTTATCTTCTACTAGTTGTTATTATGCCCGTATATTGTTTAACTGCACAGGTTTATGTATGTGTCTTGTCCTAGCCTCGTCACTACTTTCCCGAGGTTAGGCTCGGCACTTACCAGTACATGGGGTCGGTTGTACTGATATTGCACTCTGCACTTCCTGTGCAGATTTTTGTACCGGACCGAGTTAACCCTGAGTCTTGCTGTTGGCTTGATCTGTTGGAGACCCAAGGTCGTCCTATTGGAGTCCGCAGGCCTAGGCGTCCCCTTCTATGCATTTCCTTTACTATTTCATTTGTATCGAAAACAGTTGTATTTCCTTCAGACACTTTGCTTGTAGTTAAATCTTAGTAGTTCATGGGTTGTGACACCACATTCTGGGTAGTTGTGTATAAGTATTAGTTGGATTATTTTAGAATTCCGCACTTCTTTAATCTGTTATGGTTTAATTGTTGTTATTTATCAAATTGCTTAAGAGTTAGCGTATTAATCTCTAACTGTTGGCTTGCCTAGCAACTAAAAGTTTAGGCACCATCATGGTCCCGACGGTGGGAAATTCGGATCGTGACAAAAATCTCGACTTTAAAACAATCTGCCCAGATGTCCCTTCTTTGCGATCGCGGGAAAATCTTCGCGATCGTGAAGCCGAAGCTCCATTGCCCCCAAAAACTCCTCTATGCGACCGCACAGAAGCCTACTCGAATGCGAAGCATAGGCTTTCCAAGCCTACGCGATCGCGTGCTTGCCCACACGTTCGCATTGAATCACGCGCGTGAACCCAGCTGCCTCATTTCTTCTTCGCGAACGCGACCTAGCCCACGTGTTCGCGTTGCTCTGCCTGGCCTAACCTACGCAATCGCATACTCTAGATCGTGAACGCATAGAGTAAAATCACTAACCAAGCCTCCGTGATCCCGTTCCTACTCACGCGATTGGATAGAAGGAAACCAGAACTGGTCACCAGCAATCCTCCAAGTCAAATTTTCACTCCATTAACTATCTGAAATCCACCCGAGGCCCCCGGGACCCCGTCCCATCACACCAGCAAGTCCCAAACTATGATGCAAACTTGCTCGAGGCCTCAAATCAGACCAAATAACATCAAGACTACTAGTCGACGATCAAAATCCATCTTTAGATTTTCAAACTTCCAAACTTCTACAAACGCGTTCGGATCATATCAAAACTTTCGAAATGACACCAAACTTTATGTGCAAGTCACAAATCATGATATGAAACTATTCCCGGGCTCAGAATCCCAAACATACCTCGATATCACCAAAACCAACTTCAAACCAAATTTAAAGGACTGGAAAACCTCCAATGCATCAACTTCTGATATTAAGCGCTGGAACGCTCCTGGGTCATCCAAAACCGGATTTAAACATACGCCCAAGTCCAGCATCATCATACGAACCTGTTGGAACAGTCAAATCTCGATTCCGAAGTCATTTTCTCTAAAGTCAAAACTTGGTCAACTCTTTCAACTTAAAGCTTCTGAATTAAGAATTTTTCATCCGGATCAACTCCGAACCTCCCAAAATTCAACTCCCACCACGCGTAAAAGTCATAATACATGAAATGAAGCTACTCAAGGACTTAAACCGCTGAACGACATGCTAGAGCTCAAAACGACCGGTCGGGTTGTTATAATATACCTGCACGATAAGTGAAGTAGTCTAGCATGACTACGTAAATCAACGCGTACCCAGTAAGTATCTAGCTTAACCCTAGAGAAGTAGTGACAAGAGGTCGACATCGATACTTACTTGTGGTCCAATAAATCAAATACAGAATAAAGTAAGCAAGTATGAGGTGTGGTAAATAAACATTATAAACAAATATAGGTACGTGGTACAATCCTCCTCTGAACAGTAAATACATGCTCTCAATTATCGGTTACCTCCTCAATTGGAGTGTATATAAAATGGTCCCCACCAGATAGGTCGTCACAACTCAAATCAGGAAAACTCACAGATACGGCGGCTTCTTGTCAAATTTTACGCACAATTATGCCGAGGTGAATGGCCTGACCCTATAAGAGTGTTTGATGAAGTTGCCGTGGCAAATGGGTGATCCCATAAGAGTATGGTACTGCCAAGGCGAATGGTTCGATCCCATAAGAGTATGATACTGCTGAGGCGAACGATCCGATCCCATAAGAATATAATGATGACGAGGCGAACGACCCGATCTCGTAAGAATGTGGTACATAATCATGCCGAGGCGAACTAATCGATCTCATAAGAATGTGGTACATAATCTTGCTGAGGCGAACTACCCGATCCCATAAGAATGTGGTACATAATCCTGCCAAGGCGAGCGACCCAATCCCATTATATTATGAGCTTTAACGGTTCATTGACCCTGCTCACGGATATACCTGGGAGTTATGAAATTTAAGGAAGCTTTTCGATGAAAATGTACAACACGGGAGAAATTCGTAAGGGAAGCGCAATTATTCCGCGGCTAATCAAGTAGCTCGTCAAATCTCTCCAATAGTGAGTCTATCACGCAATGCAAGCCTAGTCTCATGTTGTAACACGAAATAAAGGAATTAAACATCCAAGGATAACTCAAATAGTACAATTAAAGCATGGCTCAAACCTAAGTCTACCCGGACATAATCCGGAATTCTAGCATACGCACAGACACCAGTCAACTCATACGTGCGTAGCTCCCACAACATGTAGCATATAACGAGAATAACATCGACGGGGTAAATTCCCCCTCATAGGGTTAAATGAGACTTACCTCGCTCCGAAGTTCCATAACCGGCTCTAACGCCTCTCTAACACCTCAAACCGAATGCCCATCGATCCGAAACTAGTCAAACAGTCATGAAAATTAATAAAAATATACTCCAACATAATTATTTATTAATTTATGACAATTCTCAACTCCGCTCGAAAAGTAAACAAAGTCAACCCTAGGGTCCACGTGCCCCGGATTCCGAAAATGTTCGAAGATAAACATTACCCATATTATTAGGAACTCAAATATATGATTTACTCCAAACTCCATGTCCAATTTCGTAGTAAAATTCCCAAAATATCAAATTCTAGGTTTTCTTCAAAATCCCCAATATTTCTATAAAATTTCATGAATTTACAAGCCTAAATTCGTATATTTAACTCACAACTTGTAGAAATCACTTACCTCATGATTGACGATGAAAATGGCACTCCAAAATCGCTCCAAAACCGGCTCCAATGGAAGAAATGAAATGAAATTAAGCCAATCCCACGTACTTCATAAAGCATTCTGCCCAGCGATGTTACACACCTGCGGAACTCTTTATGCTTCTGCGCTAGGCTTTTGCGGAAGCAATCTCGCAGGTGCGGCTTCCCCCAAGGCGCCAACTTTCTGCTTATGCGGACACCCAATCACAGATGCGAATCCGCTTTTGCGGAAATCACCCGCATCTGCGGACTCCCCAGCTCGAGCAGCACTTCACACTTGCGCGCCCATGACTGCATTTGCGGCTCTGCAGGTGCGCTACAACACCTTCACCTGCTATCCTCCAGCCAAAGGCCAATTTCACTTATGCGCCCCTCCGCCCGCATCTGCGAGCCTGCAGGTGCGGTAAATCCCTCGCACCTACGAATCTAGCCAGCCTCACTCCCATCCACTTTTGCGACCCTTGGGTCACTTCTGTGGTCTCGCACCTATGGCCATAACCTCGTAGGTGTGATCACACCAGAAGCCTCAAGCTTCAGCATTCTTTAAGTCCAATCGATTCGATTCCACTCCGATTCGCACCCGAGGCTCCCGGGCCCCTGTCCAGCCATACCAACGCATTCGAAAACATGATATGACCTTAGTCGAAGCCTCAAATCACGTCAAACAACATAAAAAATATGAAGCGATGATCGAAACCTTTCTTTAACCTTTCAATCTTTTAAAATTCGACAAACGCGTCCATATCATATGAAAATATATTCCGGAATGACGCCAAACTTTACGTACAAGTCACAAATCATGATACGAACCTATTCCAAGGCTTGTAACCCCAAACGGACATCAATTACACCAACGCCCACTTCAAATCAAACTTAGGAATTCCTATAACCTTCAAAATGTTATCTTTCCACAACAAGCGCCAAAATGTCCCCGGACCACCTGATACTCAACCCGAACATACGCCCAAGTCCGAAATAATCATATGAACTTATGGGAACCTTTAAATCCCGATTCCGAGGGCGTTTACTCAAAAGTCAAACGTTGATAAACTCTTCCAACTTAGAGATTCCGAATTGGGAATTTTTCTTCTGAAACAAACTTCGAACTTCCCGATATTCAATTCCGACCACACGTACAAGTCATAATACATGAAGTGAAGCTACTCAAGGCCTCAAATATTTGAACACCACGCTAGAGCTCAAAATGACCGGTTGGGTCATTACATATCACATGCTGATTATTAATGAAATTTAACTAACTTAACTGTAATACATTAATTAATATCTGTAACAACACAGCTCAACAAACATCAGTTACATTACACCAAAATCGGTAGTACAGTCATAAGCTTTTCTAAGAGATGGATAGAAATAACAAGTACATCATTGTCCCGGAATAATAGGGAACAATGGAAATAAAAATACAACAGAATGTGACATCGAGGCCTGCAAACGTCGAGCAGGTATACCTTGAAGTCTCCAGCCACGCAAACGTAAGTGTCAACCAACTCGATCATAGGTACCTGGATCTGCACAAAAATGTCCAGAAGCATAGCATGAGTACACCACAACAGTACCCAGTAAGTGTCAAGCCAAACCGCGGTAGAGTAGTGACGAGGCCAGTTCAAGATACCTACCAGATATGAAAACCTGTGCAGGATATAACATGAAACTAACCATGGAAGGAACATCAATGTAAGACCAACAGAAGAAGGGTTACAAATTTACAACCAACGGTGAAATTAATAGAAGCACGAATGGCAACAATAAACAACCAGTAAATAAAGCAACAACATAGTTAGAATACAAGTTAAGTATGAATGAGTTCAAGTGTCACGACCCAAAATCCGACAGTCATGATGGCACTAACCCAACCCGCTAGGTAAGAAAATTAACAACTATCCAATTTAATGAGATTTATCAAGAGAAGAAATGATAATACAACTGCTTTGATGCAAAGAATTTCCCAAGGACAGGTAGTACAAATCATGAGCTTCTAAGAATTAGATTTTTTTACAAAGCTGAATTGAAATAGTTACAACATCTGTTGAAATGTAAGTGAACCGAATCTAAATCTAATTCTACTAAGAACAAGTGAGATCCATAACTGGAATGCAGGTACATCGTCAAATCTAGCCCCCGCGGTATGCAGCAACATCAGCATCCAATATCTGCACGCAAGGTGGAGAAGTGTAGTATGAGTACAACCAACCCCATGTACTCAATAAGTAACAAACCTAACCTTGTGTTGAAAGTAGTGACGAGCTGGAACAAAGGTTGGAGTCCAACATCAATAGGCAACAACAACTCATAAAAACATAATAAAAGTGCTAAAAGAAGTAACTTAGAGATATAGTGCTCAACTCATTCACAATTCTGAAAAAATAGGCATGTTTTTCAAGTATAACAGTAAAACCCAAATCTTTTACCGAAAACACCAAAATGTGAGTAAGTTTGTAAAACCGTGATTTTTCCCAAAATTTTCAACAGGTGAATGTTTCATTATCAAATGGCACGAGGAAAGTACATCTCTATGCCAACATGTCAATGTGTATGAGAATTCATGAATGATGTGATACCGTACAACATGAGTAAACAACATCTTTATGCCTGTATGTCAAGTGTGCATGTTGAATGCAATACAACACAGTGAATAAACTATATGCATACTCTTAGAGTATCGATTCACTCCGTCCTCCCAGTCACTCAGTCCTCACAGTCACTCAGTCCACCCAATCAGTTGATACCATCTTCGTGGCTTTGATTGGACAGTTGGCTACTCTTGAACTGAGTTGCCCTCTGAAGCATCCCTATATGGGACATAAGAACTGAAATTGGAGGGCTCTGCATCTCTCTCTCGGCCGGCTTTAGCTTTCTTTGTGATTATCCTCTGTAGGGCGAGGGATAGAGAACTCTTGCCTCGACCCCTAGAAGGTTCTCTCCTCCACTTGGAAGTATCACCTCTGCCTCGAGATCTAACAATTTTCTGTACCAGGCAAAAGTAAGTGTTAGTTACAAAATTCAAGTGTAACCATACAAAAACACATCAAAGAGATAGTGAGCACACAGTTTAGGACATGATTGAAAGGTAGGGGATGTTGAGTGTGCATGGCAGATGATTGTTCAGATGATTTCAAATTTTTAGAATTTTGAATGCTCAGAGAGGTAAAAAGTGTAACAGTAGCCTCAAGTCTTCTATTTATACCTTTTGATGTCTTCCTAAGGAAAGGGAAGTGAGTACGGTCGCAGTATTCTTATTGCACTCCGCACTCTATTACCTGAGGGCTTAGAAGCCTTTTTGTTGTTGCGGTCTGCAGAATTTGCTGTGCGGCCGCAAAAGTTGTTGCGGACCGCAGATTTTGGCTTGCGGCCGTAGATTGGCCTTTTCTCTGATAAACCAACTACAGAGAGTTGTCATTTTCCCTCGTCAATTTATGCTGACCACAATGTAATTGTGCGGCCGCAGAGGACCTTTTGTTATAGCAATCATAATTGTGCGGTCTGCACAATACAATTGCGGTTTCTGGACACATTTCCTATAAGGAACACTCAACCCTGCAACACACTTCAAGTCCATTTAGCACAAAAATAACATCTAACTACAAAAGAAGAAAAAGAAACATGGGTTGCCTCCCAAGAAGTTCTCTATTTAACGTCGCGGCACAACGCATATTACCATCACTTGAAATGAATCACCGCCACAACGTGGCTATCACCAACTTTTCACAAATAGTGCTTCACCCAGTGAAGATTGACTCGAAATACCTCGTCATTTTTATTCGTCAAGTACAATGCACCAAAGGGTTCCACACCCACAACTTCAAACGGGCCACTCCACTTAGACTTCAACTTCCCGGAAAACATCCTCAACCATGAATTGAACAGCAGCACATGATCACCCCCTTTGAACTCTTTGTTCCAAATGTACTTGTCATGAAGATATTTCATCTTCTCTTTGTATAAGGACGAACTTGTGTATGCATGGTACCGGAATTCATCCAACTCATTCAAATGTGCCACCCTCAAGTTATCGGCGACATCCCACTATAGATTCAATTTCTTTAAAGCCCACATGGCTTTGTGCTCAAGTTCCACCAGAAGATGACAAGCTTTTCGAAACACCAACCGATATAGAGACATTCCGATGGGCGTTTTGTAAGCCGTCCTATAAGCCCATAAAGTGTCATCAAGTTTCTTGGACCAATCCGTTTGGTTAGCATTCACTGTTTTGGACAAAATATTCTTTATCTCCCAGTTGGAGACTTCCACTTGACCACTTGCTTGTGGATGATAGGAAGTCGAGACTCTATGAGTGACACCATACTTGGTGAGTAAGGTGTCGAAGGATTTGTTGCAAAAATGTGCCCCCCCATCGCTAATGATAGCTGTGGAGTACCAAACCTTGTGAAAATATTCTTCTTCAAGAACGCCACCACACTTGTCGCCTCATTGTTGGGTAGAGCAACGGCTTCAACCCATTTGGACGTATAATTAACCGCGGCCAATGTAGGTATTTCCACAAGAACTCACAAAAGGACCCATGAAATCAATACCCCACACATCGAAAATATCAATCCCCAAAATGGTGGTGAGGGGCATTTCATTTTTTCTTTCACATCCCACCGCCCCTTTGACATTCATCACATCAATTCACTAGATCACTTTGGACCCGTTCTTGCTCCACCATGGTGACCACCATATGGCGAAGAATGACAAGCCCTAAGAATTTCGCACTGCTCCTCCTCCGGTACATATCTTCTAATCACCCCATCCGTACAAATCCAAAAAAAGGTACGGTTCATCCATATAATAGTCTTGACAATCCCGTTAGAGCTTCTTCCTTTGGTTTGAAGAGAACTCATCCGAGATGATACCACTCACAAGGAAATTTGCTAGATCCGCGAACCATGGCACCTCTTTCATTGAAATAGCCAAAAGTTGCTCATTGGGGAAATAGTCATTGATTTCAAGGCTATCATGCGTCCTCCCCTCCTATTCCAAACGAGACAAGTGGTCCGTCACTTGATTTTCACTTCCTTTTCGATCTTGGATGTCAATATCAAACTCTTGCAACAAAAGCACACATCTCATCAACCGAGATTTAGAATCTTTCTTGCTCATAAGATACTGAAGTGCCGCATGATCCGTGTGGACAATCACTTTAGCACCCATCAAGTATGGGCGGAACTTCTCAATGACAAACACAATGGAAATGAGCTCTTTCTCCGTAACGGTATAGTTGACTTGGGCATTATTCATGGTCTTACTAGCATAGTAGACAGGATGAAAAATCTTGTTGATGTGTTGCCCCAAACAGCCCCCACCGCTACATCCCATGTATCGCACATGAGCTCAAAAGGAACACTCTAATTTGGAAGGGTGATGATGGGAGTAGTTGTCAACTTGAACTTTAGCAATTCAAAGGCTTTCATGTAATCATCATTTAAGTGAAACTTAGCATCTTTCTCTAAAAGCTTGCACAATGGGTTCACCACTTTAGAGAAATCCTTGATGAAACGCCGGTAGAACCCTGCGTGACCTAAGAAACTCTGCACGCCCTTCACCGAAGTTGGAGGTGGAAGCTTAGAAATCACCTCATTCTTGGCCTTGTCGACTTTAATGCCATTCTTTGAGATCTTGAGGCCAAGGATAATCCCTTCCTCGACCATGAAATGACATTTCTCCCAATTTAGCAACAAATTTGTTTCTTCACATCTTGCCAATACTTTATCCAAGTTTGCGAGATAATCATCAAAAGAATTCCCGACCACCGAGAGGTCATCCATGAAAACTTTAATGTAATCCTCCACCATGTCCGTGAAGATAGCCATCATACACCTTTGAAAAGTCGCCGATGCATTGCACAAACCAAATGGCATCCCCTTGAACGCGAAATTACCATAGGGACAAGTAAAGGTTGTTTTCTCTTGATCCTCCGGAGCAACAAGAATTTGGTTTTAGCCGGAATACCCATGAAGGAAACAATAGAAAACACGACCGGCCAATCTATCAAGCATTTGGTCTAGAAAGGGAAGTGGAAAATGGTCCTTCCTTGTGACTTTGTTGAGCTTATGGTAGTCCATACACACTCTCCACCCGGTCACCGTTCTTGTAGGAATCAACTCATTCTTGTCATTGGTGACCACCGTCATGCCCCATTTCTTTGTAACACATTGAACTGGAGAAATCCACGAACTATCGGAAATGGGGTAGATAACCCCGTCATCCAACCACCTGATGATTTCCTTTTTGACAACCTCTTGCATGGCTTCATTGAGTCTCCTATGATGTTCAATAGATGGTTTGGCACCTTCCTCCAAGTTGATCTTGTGCATGCGAAATGCGGGGCTTATCCCCCGAATATCCGCCAGTGTCCATCCAATAGCCTTCTTCCTCTTTTGTAGCACCGCCAATTGTCACGCCTCCTTTTTTTTTATACATCCGAAGGTAGTATAAGGGAGTTTTTCCAATTTAAGTGACATTATTCGAAATGGGATTAATTATTCAATTCAGAGTCGCCACTTGGGATAGTTTATTTGGTGTCCAAGTCACCGGTTTATTTTGAATCCCAGATCGAGGAAAATTTTGACTTTCCTTTTGAAGTCTGCGAATCAGAAATTCTGAATAAGGAATTCTGTTAACCTGAGGGAAGGTGTTAGGCACCCCCAGATTCCGTGGTTCTAGCACGGTCGCTTAAACTATTATAATTGGCCTATTATCTGATTTTAATACATGTTTTAGCCTATGGTATATTTTAACTTATTAAACCGCTTTTAATTATTTTTAAAGGAAGATTTCAACGTCATCTAAAACACGTCTTTGGACCATGCCATATGAAATGCACCCACAATCCGCGACACATTTTATTTGACGTTGTTGAGATTTGGATTTGGGTCACATGAAATGCACACCCGAGTTTAAGAAAGTAGCTTTTAAAATAGCGCGCCTAAAGCAACTACGCACTTTCAAGTTTGTGAGGGCCATGGAGAATTCAACTAAATGGCACACCTCGATTTCTAAAGGATTAAAATTAATTAAATAAGGGCCATAAGTTTAGGGATTTTATTTAGCACGGCACACCTCAAATTATTCTAAAGGGCTTTACTCAACTAAAACAAACTACGGATGTTCATGATTATTTTCCTAAATTTGAGATTTATTGTGATTGATCTCATAGTTATGGACGAGAATTGTGGGAGAGGTGGCTGAAATTCCTTCGCACAATATAGTTTAAATGGGTAAGACAATGGTTTGTGCTTTCAGGTTGTGGAAATAGGAAAGTAATTTGTCAACAAAGTTATACTCAAGAAAATGAAAACCAGCACCTTTTCACGTGATTTTTGTGCCTAGCATTCAAAACCGTAATCAGCAGCACAAGCACAACGATATACTGGTCATTTTTTAGGCTTTTACCATCAAATGCACATTCGTATATTTTACCATCTTCAAGTTAGTTCTTAATTACTTTATGGAATTAAAAAATCCATCCAATAAACAAGACATTCTATGAGGGGCATATTCAGCATTGAAGCTTAGCTACCAACAAAACAACTGGTGGTAAGAAGGGAAAAGCATCTTTTGCACAATAAGCTAGTACAAATAACACAACAGTAAGGATTATGACAGATAGAGCAATTAGCATATCACACAATTCAAATTGCTAAAGCAGCAGGTTGATTCAATCACTCTTCTTTAAGTCTTTCTCCTTATAATCAGCTCAAGGTTCATGTTAAAACTTACAAAGCAGAGTTTGATATATTCAAAATTACTGGTTAATCTATATGAATGGGGACAAGTAAAAACCGTAGTTAAAGGGGAAAATAGCTAAATTCCCCATGACACAAACAAAATTCACAAGAATCTTTAAGCAAACAAAGCCATCAAATGGCTTAAACAGCAGTACGGTCCAAATTAAAATCCCAACTTTGTTTTATTGAGAGTTGCCACTTGGGATAGTTTATTTGGTGTCCCAAGTCACCGATTTATTTTAAAAATCCCAAATCGAGGAAATTCGACTTTCCTTGTGAAGTCTGCGAACCAGAAATTCTGAATAAGGAATTCTGTTAACCCGAGGGAAGGTGTTAGGCACCCCCGGATTCCGTGGTTCTAGCACGGTTGCTTAAACTATTATAATTGGCCTATTATCTGATTCTAATACATGTTTTAGCCTATGATATATTTTTAACTTATTGACCGCTTTTAATTAATTTTAAGAAGATTTCAACGTCATCTAAAACGCGTCTTTGGACCACGTCACATGAAATGCACCCGCAGTCCGAGATACATTTTATTTAACGTTGCTGAGATTTGGATTTGGGTCACATGAAATGCATACCCGAGTTTAGGAAAGTAATTTTTAAAATAGCGCGCCTAAAGAAACTACGCACTTTCAACTTTGCGAGGGCCATGGAAAATTCAACTAAATGACACACCTCGATTCTAATTTCAAAGGATTGTACTCAACTAAAGCAAGCTAGGGATGTCCATAATTATTTTCTAAACTATCATGAATGTTCCAAGAGTATTGTGGTTAATCTAATGTAACTCTATTCTTTCTCATTTATGTAAAGTAGTCCTACAAGATAAATGAAGGAATCCATGACCAAGGACCTAAATTAAATACATCATGTGAGGAAAGTTCAAGCAACGAGCCCAAATATCAACAATGAGGATTAAAGTCTTCAAGATCAAATATACCAACATTCATGAATTACATCACACTTGAGTAATTGTAATATGCTAGTCTCCTATTTATGGAGAATTCTCTAATTATATCATATTTTATATCTCCCAATACAATGTTATGCAGGTTTAAAACAGAAGCAAGAAGTGTTTAAGATTGAACCAAGAGGCGTGCTACTCTGAAGGTTGGGCTCGTCTTTTAGTACCATAACAAATATAAGCTAAGTTGCAAACTTGAGTAATTGTAAGCAATAGCAATTTAAGTTTCTCCCTGACATGTGGATATCTATTTCAAATGAATTACATCACACTACCAAACAACATATTCGGTTCTAATTTGATTCAAAAGTGTTGCGTAAATAAATAAATAAATAAAAAACTGTTCTAATAATTACAGTTGATCTCTAACTCTTTTTACTAAAATAAAATTCTAAATCTTAATTTTTTTTTGTTCATCCCTGCTTGTGGAAAAGAGTCTGAACCAAAACCTTGCTCCATTTTAACTAAAATCAATAGCCACAACAAACTAAGATCACAGCTTTCACTTTCATTAATAACCCAAATATAAACTCTGCACTTTTCCCATTACTACTTAAGTCCACGCACAAGCTTCAATTACTGGGCAAATTTGGGAAAAACAATCCTTAAAGCACACAGAGAGCTTTTGAAGACAAATTGCATTTAGTAATGTTCCACTCATCGTGTGAAATCAAATCTACCAAATAAATCCATATAAAGGCAACAAACGAACTAAACAACAACAATGATTCCATAACAAAACAGATCTAAGAACAATTTTGTGGAGAACGTACCTCGTTGCACAAAGTTCACATTTAGAAGAGAAGAAAGCCAAACAAAGCTAGAATCAGCGGGTCTGAAACTCAGCAAAGACTCCAGCGAACAGCAGCAAATTGGAAAGCAAATTCAATTATTTTTTTGAAAGAAAACAGATGAAAAAGTGATCTGAAAATGAACTTGGTTTCAATTGTTGCCTTTGTATAGTCTTAAATCCAAATTTTCAAGGAAATTTCAGCTTGTGCGCTGGGTTCTTGTTCAAGAGGGGCGGGTTCGTTTCTGATTCTTTGTTCCCTTCTGTTATTCTTCGGTTCAAGATGCAGGAATGCGCCGTTGCCTTTGTGCAGGGGTCTAAGGGTAAGGTCTAGCCCTAGATTTTAGGAAAGTGGGGTTTTAAAGAGAAGGGTTGGGCCAAACCGGGTCATTGGCTGGTGGGTCGGATTGGTTTTTGGGCTGGGTAGGAAAATTTGGGTCTAATTTGGGTACAAGAACTAGCCCAATATCTAATTAAATCTTTTCTTCAAATTCTTTTCTTTTTCTTTTCTTTAATTAAAATCCTAAAATTAAAATCCTAGATTATCTAAAAATATGAAATTAAACTAATTGACTAAGTACAAAATTATAAAAGCTACTTAATCCTAAATTAAAAGAGAAAAATCAATAACCTAAAATAAAAGGAAAAAAGTGTGAAAATGAAGTATTTTTTTGTGATTTTCATTTAATAAAACAAATAATTGCTGATTAATCCTAAAAATATAAAAAATAGAGCCTAAATGCAATGCATGATATTTTTGGTATTTTTCATGATTTAAATAAAATTAAACATGCACAAAAATACAAATAATTAAATAAAATTCTACAAAAATTCCTAAAGTGGCAAATAATTAAAAAAAAATCTATTTTTTTTTGGATTTTATAGGAGTATTTCATATAGGGCAAAAATCACGTGCTTACACCAATGTAGAGTCTACCTGCACGTTAGTCAAACAAGAGGAAAAAATAACTGGTAAAGTAGAAGAAGGGCCAAAAAATTTATACCGAAGGTGTGGATGCAATGGCTTCAACTCCAAGATAGGAGGCTATTCGATTGAAGGCTTTGTAGGAGGGTTTGTCCTATTTTCAAGATCGAAGGACAATTTGCGTGGCTCATATGTGTACGACCCCATTCCTTGAAAAGAGTTCACACATTCCTGAAGCCACGTCATCACAAAGTTGAGCAAGACGGCCTCCAACATATCACCAACATTTATCACAACACTTATTTCATTCACAATCACATCGGTCATCATGTCCATGACAGAACACACTTCATTGCTATTGGGTTGCCTCATGGACTTACACAGATGGAAGACAACTTTTTCATCACCAACCTGGAAAGTAAGTTAGTCGGCTTCAACATCACAATGAGCCTTCCCCATAGCAAGGAAAGATCTACCAAAAATAATCGGCACCTCATAATCAACCTCACAATCAAGAATGACAAAATCCGCTGGGAGAATGAATTTTTCAACACGAACCAAAACATCCTCAATCACTCCCAAAGGTACCTTCATAGTGCGATCAGCCATTTGCAATCTCATAGAGGTGGGGCCTTGGTTGCCCAATTCCCAATTCTTGAAAACCGAATAAGACATCAAATTTATACTTGCCCCAAGATCACAAAGATCTTTTGCAAACTCGGCACTTCCAATTGTACAAGGAATTGTGAATGCATCGGGATCCTCCAACTTGGGAGTCATTGAGTGCACAATTGCACTCACTTGATGAGTCATTTTATAGTTTCAAAATTCATTGACCGCTTCTTTGTCAAAAATCCTTCATGAACTTTGCATAGCCGAGAATTTGCTCCAAAGCTTCAACTAATGGCACATTGATTGAGAGACTCTTCATCATTGGATAAACTTCTTGAATTGGTTTCACCATTTTGCTTTGCAAGTCTTTGAGGGTATGGAGGTGGAGGCTTAGGCAATAGTGCCTTAGCCTTTTGCACTACTAGTTCCGGCATGTCAATAGTGTGATCCCTGGACGGGTTCACCTCCTCTTGAGTCTCTTCCACACTATCATCAATATCAATTTGAACCCCATCATTGGATTGCTCAACATTGTTAGGGATCTCCTCTTCTTGCACTACATGCTCTTCATCTACAAGTTGCCTTTGGCTTGAGGTGGGTGCATTCCCACCTTATCCACCCCTTGTAGTAATGGCCATGGCATGCCCCGTGTTGTTCCTACACTTTAGGTTGACCACTGTGTGTCACGCCCCTTTTTCTCGCAAAAACGGGTTTTGACGTGTGACAACTCTTTTAAATGGGTAGGTACTAAAAGAGAAGAGTCGCCACCTAATGATTTTTAAGGTGTGTTAGGACACCTATTATGAAAATAACTCTATTTGACTACTCGATGTCACCAAATATTTGTAAGGGCTCAAATTACCTCAAAGAGAAGATGTTAGGCACTCTTCGAGGTCCACAACTGTGGGTCCCGGCCAAACTTAACACTATATGGATTATGTCATTAGGCTAAGTGATCACATAACAAAGAAATATGAAAGTCGAAGAGTTTTATTATAACACATGGGGATTGGTACAAAATCTTAATGAATACAGTGATATAACTTCACTGGTCTATATTAAAAGACTAAGTGTAGATAACAAGTACATAAAGAAAAAAAAGAGGGGGGTTCCTAAGTTTCTTAGCCTAAAGGATCACTCCGTGCAACATAAATAATGCTTCGTAACTCCCTTAATGTAGGGGTTGCTCATATTATTAAGTGGGCACAGACTATCTTCTCCTGCTACCCAATTACTATGTTAAAGATGTTTACTTAAAGGCGCTCTAATTCAATTCTAGGTCGTACCCTATGCGTGCACTACCCATCCCATGCCTATGATCCAGGAGGCTTTGGACCTCTACATGGGTGGTTCTAGACTCAACTTAGGTTGCTCAAAATGATAAAAACTAGGCGACACTCAAAACAGATAGGACTTCACGTAAAGACAATTAAAGGCTCAAGTTAGCCTCCACACATACACAACGAATGCACGCGAAGTTCAGGATATAGAAAGGATTAAGAGTCGTTAAATCCTATAGGCATGATATCTATATTGTTCTAGTATTAAACAGGTAGTGCTGCATTTTTAGGCTAAAGTACGGGCAGATTAGATCTTTATGAGTCCTAGAGACATGGTCCCTAAGTGATTCTTATTTCTAGCGTTATATATAAGCAGTGTTCAGGCGAATAGCAAATCCTATATGCATGATATCTAATCATTTTGTCAAAACGCTAATGAAAACAGTCATAGTTCTAACTTATTAGTGCTGGTTTGACAGTGTGATAGAAAAACAAAGGGGGATAGTTGGTTGGAATATTAGAACCCTATAGTCATGTTATCTAAATAAACAGTATACTAAAAGTAATTGAAGCAATTGATAGATTGATTATTTTGAAATCCTATAGGCATGGAATATAGGTGAGTAAAATAGTACAGCATCCTAAGGACACACAGTAGTGGTAACAAGCAAGGTAAATACTGGAAAGAGCATATGCTTAGGTGATGTGCGTGCATGTGACTCTTATAGGAAAGATTTCTACTCATGACATCAAAAGATGTAAAGCAAATAGTGAATAAACCACATAGCATCTATAGTCATGCTTTCTACCCATTTATGCATGCACTAGAATACCCTTTCTTCCCCCAATTTCACTAAATCCCCAATTGTTCAATTTACAAATTATTATAGCCCAATCGAGATAATAAAATGTGAATAATTACATCAGAAGACCTCTACAGGCTCAATGATAGGCCTACTATAGACAACCCAGTATTTCCTAGGCCTTCAGCAGCTCCAGCAGACTCGAGTTCTTAGCTCATAAAATCAGTCTAGTAAGCCAAGCCCAACATCACATAGAACCATACACCAAGCCCAAAAGAAGGACATGGTTACACAAGCAACAGACTATATGTTGAACTAACTAAACAAAGCAAGAAGTCCACATACTTATTTATTAGGACTATAAAGCTGATTACCACCATGACGCATAGACAAATTTGTGTGGCATATTGGTAGGACACACATAAAGCAAGATCATGTTTGCATTTTTTAGTTATAGGGGACACGATTGATCATCATAGGATAGCATACTATTTCTAAAAGAGATTTTAAACACTGACATGGTTAAAACCAGCTTAAGACAATTTCCAGCAAGGGATCTAATTATGAATGCTGAAGGATCAATAAAAGACGACCTTAATAGCGTAGTTTAAGCCTAAGTAATGGCAAAACAGATTCATAACAAGGAAAGAGTATATCATGTGCAACATTAACAAAGTTGAGGAGGCATGTCATTGGGATTAACAAGGTAAGCATACAAGATAAGCATGCTGAGTTTTTTCAAGAAAACAATTCTACGGTAAAGCATGTTCCAAGCTTAGTTTAAAAGGGACTTTAGACCTGAGATTCTTGATAGTCTAATAAAGTCATAATCAAGGGAATAGCAATTTTTCACATTAGATCCTATTACACACAGAAAACAGGCTAGATTATCTTGCACTCTCTGCTGCACTGTCGCGTGTACAGTTGCAGGCAGTCACTTTCTACAGTTGCTTTCCAGCTGTATAGTTGACTCATACTTCTGTCAGGGGAACATCAAGGGATCAGGTCCCTAATCTGGTTCTTGTGAATCTAAAGGCACACTGCCTAGATTATCTTGAGTTGATTAACTTGAATGATTGTACCAAGCATGCTTCAGGTCCTTTTTCTAGTTCTATATAGAAAATTTGTTAGATCATCAAAACATAGATTAAAAGACCTTAAGCCCATCAATTTCCCCCTTTTTGATGATGACAAACTTTTAACATTGATGACTATTTGACTTAACCGGATAAGGTACCAGCAACCGCATATGTTCCCCCTGACTCTAGGCTTCCCCCCTTAATTACTTGCTACAATTTCAGTTTAATCAATTCTTCCCCCTTTTGGCATCAACAAAAAGACACAGTCAGACAAAACGGCATAAAGAAGTCTAACAAAGCTAACTCGTGCCACATATATGCACACAACATGATAGAAAAGAGAAGCAAAAAGGAAAACAAGCATTGTACAAGCAAAAGAAGAGTTGTTTCATTGATAAGAAATTAGACTATTTCAATAGGAGCAGCAATGGTGAAATCCAACATGCCATCACAAAAAGACAAACAAAAAGAAAACAACAGCCACAAAACATCAGAGCAAAAGATAACTGGCCACTGAGAGGATCCTAGGGGGCACAAGAAGAGGGAGGCTTAGAAGAGGAGGCAGCAATGGTTTTGAGAACCAGGTCCATGCGGGCATTCGCAGACAACCGTTAGTCAAGCAGTTTC